CGCACTTCAAACACAATGGAGACTGAAACGGCTACCACCTCCTCCTCACAGGATTGCGCACGAAGCCCCCAAACGAAAACATCTCGCCCTAGGTCTTCAAAAGCATGGGAATATTTAAAAGTTAGTCCAAAACGCAAAGATATTTATATATTTATATCTCACTGAGACTTCTGCATAGCCTAGACCGGAAGCAGCAGCTAGCTGTGGTGGCTACCATTAGCAGCTAGCATTTGCTCTCCGATTTTTACATAAAAATGGAATTATGGATTATAAATTCACTCATGTTTTTATACATAGACGTTAAAAACCTATGGATTAACCGATTCAGCCGCGTTTTTTCTAATTGTAATGCCATTGAACACGTCTTTTGATCAGATTGACAGCTACGGTGGTGAGACGATCTCCCTAGAAGCTCTGTAAAGGTACGTGTTGTGATGACTGTATTTGCTTCGCGAGTCCGGATCACTCAGTGCTGATACTATATACCTAAATAATCTGTGGAGTCTCAGCTTTAATCGGATATCTTGTAAGTGCAGCTACGATAAGTAATAAGGGTACTTTTATCTTGAGTTCTGTGCCAATGTCCGTTAGCATTTTTCGCTCAGGGGTCATTTAGATGCTTCTTATGAGACTTATGTTTTGTTTTGGTAAACATGGTTTGTATTGTCAGTTAGCTGAGATTATTTCCGTTAATCTGGTATAACACATTAATAGGTTCTTAAATATTAAGATCCTCTGAGACACAGTATCGTGAAAAAATTTTTTTTTTACATTACGTTTTTTATGAATTGAACAACAGAAAAATAATCGTTAGATTAGTCGACTAATCGATCAAATAATCGCCCGATTAATCGTTTTCAAAATAATCGTTTCCCCCCAGCACTAGTGTACACATATGAATCATGTCAAAACAGGGCTACATTTGATTTAATTAAAAGGTATAATAAGTGGTAAACTGAAGAGCCGTTTGGGAGCCGAAAGAGCCGGCTCTTCTTGGTGAGCCGAGCCAAATGATCCGGCTCACCAAGAAGAGCCGGAATTCCCATCACTAGTGTACAGCTCTCACTTAACCCAGGCTGGGAACCATGTGGTCCTCTCAACATAAAAAAACATCTAACACAATCACTTTGAAACACTGAATTACACATACATAAACCAAAGCAACTAACTATCAGTTCATGCTGAAGTGTTTTCCAACCATGCTGACACACTGGTTAAACATTAATCCTGATTAAACCTTTCTAAAACTAAGCCTTGTTTTTTTTCCTAGGTCAAGGAAGGTAAATCGGCACATTTTGGTAGTCTAACAGCAAGAAGGGGACCACCCTGGGAGACTCAGCATTGCAACAGAATGCCAGTCATTCCACTTAGTTAATAATTACACCCTCTTTTATACCGGGGCTTAATTTCCGCTGCATGGTAAGGTTTGGCTCAGCTCAACTGTCTTTTAGTACTAGGTAATTTAGGGCATTTTGTTTTACACTGCAGATTGTGCCCTGTAAATGTATAGGTATTAGCCGAGCGTCGTAGGAGTGCTACGTTAAACTGCTGTGATATCAGCTTCAACGCTACACATACACATGGGGTTACGTATGAATGGGTCAAAGGAAACCACCAACAAACAGAAAATGAGATATACACCTAGGGACAAGCAGAGAGAAAAAAGCTTTCAAAGGACTTGTAGAAGGACAGGGAGACAACAATGATGGCAGGCTTGGAATGAGGCAGGCACGCAGACAAATGTTAACATGCAGCAGCTGAGCCAGTGCATTCAGCCAGTCAGTATCACTCCAACTGCATTCCTGGCCTGTCTGTCTCCTGTGTAATGCTGCCCCTATGCACATTCCTGTTCTGTGAATGCTTTAGTTAGGCTTCCACTGCATCATGAACAGACACAGAGCAACCTCTTGGCGGACAAGCTTAACAGCTATTGATTGATTTAAAATGAAAGTCAAACAGTGTCCCTCCCGTTTGACCAAAGTGTGGAGCAAGCTGAAAACGCAGGTTGTGGTCAGTGGCTGTATCAAAATGACAGGCTGAACCTTGTTATAGTGTGTTCACAGAAGACATTCAAAACAATCAGTGTGATCTTCCTCAGTTGCAGGGATTAGAGACAAACATTATACAAAGAGAAGATTGAGAAAATAGGCCTATTGGTGATGCATTGTGCTTTGAGTCTGACCCAACAAGAAACAAAGGACTAAAAATGATAAAACAACAAGAAAGGCCTTGTTGAATGTACAAAGAGAGGCAAGGCAGACCAACAGGGAGAGAAGTTTCCAAGCCCAACAAAGCCAGTACAGTCTCCAGCTGTCCGCCCCCTTTTCCTTTTCACTCAAGTGGGGAGGAAATTAGGTAAACATCCTGGCATTTCGGCAGCCGATTGATCCCTATCTATCGTGGGTGGACCACATACCCTCTAGGGAGGTCCAGGGGAAAATAACATTTTATACATTTTAATGTGATATGCATCGACCTCGGACACTTTGAGAGCAAAATATAAATGTTGTGCCAATAAAAAATGTAATCATAAACAAATTCCATGGAATAGGTGTATACATCACAACGCACTTTTTCCTGATAACATTTTCCCATACACTGCCAATAGATGAGAGTAACACCTACGTCACTTCCGGGCAAAAATTCCGGCACCGCCCACTTTTGGGGGAAAACAACGCTGTCATTTGAATGGCGGTCAATACAAATTCTGAAGTTTTTGCCAATCCGATCAATTTTTTTTGAAAACCGTAGATTTTTGGATCTTCAAAGAGCCCGATTGCAATGGCCAGACAGGCAAACAATTACATTTGATCATTGGTAATCGACAATCGGTCTTGATATATGGTTAAATTAAAATCAGTAGGCGAGGCTGTAATTTCTCCAGCTGTTACTCTCATGAGCGAGGCGGAACATAATAGTTGTATCATGCCAACAAGCTGCCGTGTCGTTTATTGCACCTCAAACATTAAAAATAATCCAGAGTTCAGTGTTTCTGTACTTCCTCTAAGAAGAAAGGACAGTAAAAGAAGAGCTCTGTGGCTTCAGGCTCGATCGCCATTCAAATGACAGCGTTGTTTCCCCCAAAAGTGGGCGGGGCCGTAAAGTGACGTCGATGTTACTCTCATCTATGAAAATCGATAGCCTACTGCTATATTTAACCATATATCGAGCCCGATCGTCGATTTCTAATGGCTTAATGCAATTGTTTGCCTGTCTGGCCATTGTAATCGGGCTCTTTGATGATCCAAAAATCTCCGGTTTTCTTAAATTTCTGATCGGATTGGCAAAAACTTCAGAATTTGTATTGACTGCCGTTCAACTGACAGCGTTGTTTTCCCCCAAAAGTGGGCGGAGACGCTATTTTTGCCCGGAAGTGACGCATTTGTTACTCTCATCTATAGATTTAAAATAGGTAAATGATGTATTGATTGTAGTGTTGCACGGTGTACCGATACTTGAAAGTAGAGATGTCCCGATCCGATCACGTGATCGGGGATCGGAGCCGATCACGTGATTTTTAAAAGATCGGAATCGGGAGAAAAAGATCGAGAATCTTTTTATTTTTTTATTATTATTTTTATTTAATGTTACAAAACAAAAATGACCATGTTCACGTCTTAAAGTCATCCTGAGGCCTTAGTTTTGGTTTAAAATGACCCAACATCATGTATGTGTTGCTTCTTTTGGGCTTGTTTTCAGACCTGGTTGCTTATTTCTCTCAAATCTGGCAACAGAGTGGGCGCAGTGTCTAATAGTAGCAGTAAGCTAACGAGAGGCTAAGTTTAGCTGGTGACTCGGGAGTCGGCACAGAGAAAATGTCAGGAGTTTGGAAGTATTATAAAATTGAAAGTGAAGGCAGTGTAACAGCCAGATGCAATGCTTGCAAGAAGAAGGTTCCGCGTGGTGGAAAGAACAGAGTTCAACACGACCAATCTAATACGCCACCTGAGAAACCAACACCAACAACAACACGGCGAGTACACTAGGGCTGTACCCGAATATTCGTTCGTTGGAGTACTATTCGGGTTTCAATTTCGTTATTCGGAAATTCGTTTTTTCCACGTTTTTTTCAAATTGAATTTATTGAAATCTCCAATATCAACGTAAGAGCTTGTGCCTCTTCGGGGGGTGCTAACACTTAACCATAAACGTTATCGTTTACTTTCTCCGTCTTTATATGTAGATATTACTTTCCTCCGTTAATCTCCGGCACGTTGTTTCCAAAGCAACAACAACTTCCTGTCAACAGCGCTACCTCTCCTTCAAAATAAAAGCATGTCCACAAATAGGAAGCCAAGCCAAATTACACTTAAGTAATGCCGTGAATACACCGAAACACACGTGTTGAAGTGGTTCGCTGCTGATTACTATTGAATTGTGTTACTCCAGTAAGATGGAAATATAATACTTTGTTTATTCATGTTATGTTAAGCTGCTGTTGTTCATTGCATTATTACTAGACTAGTTAGTCTTAAGGCTAGAATTCTGCACACAGCCACCTTTTTATTTTATTTTATTATTTGTGACTGAATGTGAACTTGTGAAGCTAGTCAAGCTACCTCTTTCCAGTAGAGTTATTTGTGTTTTGTTACTGCACTCTCTGCACTCAATTTGTTTACATGGTTATTTTGTGGTGGACCACTGATAACCTTTAGGATATAATGGATAGTTGGGTACTGTCATTTAAATTAAAAAAATAACCTTAAGGGACAACTTGAATGCTTTTTTCATTTTTTTTTTGCATAAAGATCGGATCGGGAAAAATCGGTATCGGCAGATTGTCAAAATCAAATGATCGGAATCGGATCGGGAGCAAAAAAAGGTGATCGGGACATCCCTACTTGAAAGGTACCGCGATACCCTGCCGTTAAAAACGTTACGATTCCTCCGTTTCATTAGTATCGGTACTTTAAGAATGACGGGGGAAAGTACTCCGGTGAGAAAGCGCTGTTTTACTAAGAGCCGTGTGTGTTCAGCGCTCTGCTTCCACTCCCTGCACTGCAGCCGTGCCTGCAGCCCCTCCCCTCTCGTGCACGCTCTAAGTGCCTCCCCTCTCTCGTGCACGCGCTAGCTGCCAGAGCATGTGAGAAAGTTGACCATCTACTGCAGCTCTGGTGAGCGAAATATATTTTATGACATATTTGTTGTTGATTGATATCGTCACCACGGTGACGAGTGTCTGTGTTTTCCTTACAGTCTTTGGTGTTTTCATGATGAAGCATTACGGTGGTTGTTGTTGTTAAGTATTGCTTTGTTTTGTATTTTGCTGAAACTATTTCTTTCTTTACACAGTGAAAACAATATTTGGGATGTGATGACACTGTCGGCCATATAGCTCAATATCCAACAACTCAGCTCTCAACATATTGGACTGAGCTAGGTACCCCCACGATACAAGTCAGGAGGATCACACACTGTGGCATAGTTCTTTTTTACCACCACAAGTGGACAACCGTGACAGGGCAAATGAAGTGGGCCAAAACATATGGAGCAAGTCTTTAGTCTTTCTTAAGCCAAGGACGATAAGCAGAACTACTACACCAGATGGCAACAGCAACACATTCACTTCATTGACAGTTCAACTGCTTGCTCAGTAAGACTTTCCTTCCAGGTTTGAACATTTGTTGATTAATTGCACAATAACTGTCTGTAACATGATTAGGTAGACTTTATATCTGTTGAAACGTGCTTTTAATCTTAACTGATGGAAGGTCTCCATTTTCATCTCAGATTGGCACATATTACAAGAAGAAGAAGCATCAACGTGTGTGACATGGTCAGCTGCATGTCACCTGAGGAACCCCACAACATAGAGGAATACAGACAACACAGTCTGGCCGATTCCTCACCACAAGAAAGAGAAGCATCAAGCACCTAGTAGCTACCCACCTGAGAATTCAATCATAATAATGATAATAATAAATGTACTTGTAACAACGATACCCGTGTTTACAATGTAGTTGACAGTGTGACGGAAACAAAACCAAAACCATTACTGTTCCTCTGTTCAGTTGGTATCTTGTCATGGCAGTCTTAGGCAAATCCACCCTGTTGCCTAAGTCTAACACACTGCTGCAGAAACTTGCTGCTTGACTCAAAATCTTTAATTGACTACCAACTAAAGTGTAACGATCATATATTGGTAAGCAGCTGGCGTTCAGTGCTGAACTGTTCCTTGTCTGCGACTTCTCTATAACGTTAGATTGAAAGCTAGCTTAGCTACATAGTTCATTGGCTCACAAATGATCACCATCTGGTACATGTGTCCAGGATGGGAAATATGCACATGACGTTAGGGGAATAAATATATGAGCCACTAGAAAAGGTATTACGGGTCTCAGCTTGCCTTACTGACGATGACCAGAACACTAGCCAGCTAACTAGCACACACAACGAGCGTTAGCCGCTGGTTAGCGGTTAGCTAGGAACGATGAGAACATACCGTCTGTTGCTAGTGACACTTGTTCCGCAGACAGTAACGAAGACTAGGGAAATCGTCCTGCCTTCCAAAAACGATTCAAGTTAAGAAACGAGTGGTCCCGGCGCAGTGCTGTGAAGGACTTCCCCACTGCTACTAGCACTTATTTTCCTGCTGTGTTCGGTCCCACCTATCCGTATCCGTTCCGTTTCGAGCGACAACAGCTCCTACAGAGCTCCCTCTGTTGTTTACTGTTCTCGTTCTAGCTCAGATATTCAAATCGCATCGCGAGATTTGGACCAAGGTTTCATAGGCCTCAAGTAGTGTAGGTTCAAGATCAGCACCACACTTTGGCTTCTGTACAAATGTTAACATGTTAAACATGAGACATGATATCAAATCTGCACAACATTATTAATATTTTATTTAATATATAAATACCATAACTGAAGATGATCACTCCTCTTCTCTATTCCCAATGTATGTTTTCCAACATTTTATTTTCTGTTGGCTATAACTGTGTTACTTAATTAATTCTTTGACATTACAAATATAAAAGTACAGTTCAAAGCTTTATGGTGATTTAACGATTTCTCAGTCCACAGCAACTAAATAATTTATAATGTATAAGGTTAAATAAATAGCGCCTTAAAAGGTAATAGTAAATTCCATTAATAAATCACAAAACGAATGAACTAAGCATGAATAATTATTGAATGGACACATATGGTGTACAGTAGAGTAGTAAGTACGTCAAATATCTTGCTGATGGACTAGCACAAACTGCAGTTCCAGACAGACGCATCTGATCCAATATACAGAGGATTACATGATAGCTCTGTGTGTTTTTGTATAATTGTACAAACTGCCACTCAAATATTTAGACACGTGAGAATCAGTTTGTGTCCTTGCAGCAAGGATTCATTACAGCCTCAGAAGCAAGGAAAAAACGAATAAAACAATTGACAGCCTGAACCAGACTGGAAAACATGTGACAGCAGCAATCGAGGATAAGCGTACACACCTAAGTGTGTATGTATGTACACAACTCTAAATCCTACGCTACACAGAAGCTCCCTCCATATCATAATAATACACAAAATAAAGCAGAGGGACCAGATTATGCTTTATAAAATGTGGAAAAATAAATATTTGTATTCAAAATCACCCGTTTGTAATCATAAACAGATAAACAAATATCATGACATAAAAATCCTATAAAATGTATAATTGTTTTGGGTCAGTCATGTTCTGAAATGTGTTAACTGTCTGGTCCAGCTTAAACAAGGGCTGATCTTTTGCCTGGGAGTATTGGTGCTGCAGTGTGAAGGAAGAGTCTGTGATAGAAGAACACCATCAAATACGTTCCAAATGAAGTGGAAGAGAAGCAACACCAAGGACGATTCCACCCTGAGATGTCTCCATGATTAACTTCCTGTTGTTACCCTACCTGAATAAAGAATGAAAATGTAGAAGGTCCACGTTATAAATGTTGGGGTAAAAAACATAGGGGAAAATGTGTGCGAGATGTGGCAGAAAAACCCATCACAGCATTGGAAAGGCTTTTCACACGGGTACATCTGTAACTTCCATCCTCTTGACACTTTCGTAATTATTAAATTCCAAGAGATTGTCCAAGTTCCCCTTTGTTTAAAGGAGAACACATGGGATTAAATGGGATTTTGACCGGGTTGGGAGGGTTACTTTCATTACAATCAGTAACCATAATCTCAGTATCACAATATATAAGTAATGTAAACTGGTTTCTTTCCAATTCTTCTGAATGCCCTCAATATCAAATGCAATGCAAATAAGAAAATAAATATACATAAAATGGCAATATCTTTACAAGATATTTATTACCAAAAACAAGTCCTCTTAAATGATAGGCTCTACAGAATAGTAGTTTACAAATGCTGTTTTAGTTTAATGAATGAATAAAGTATTTCGGTTTAACAAATCATCCGCTGCAGATATTTGAAATAAAGAATGTAAGTTAAAAACAACAGACAGGTCATCGCCCTCTTTACTTTAACCTTGTATTGCAAAATAGTTATAATGTTTATCATTTTTATAAACATCAGTAATCTGATCAGGTTTTTTCTTTTTATGTAACTGGGGAGTATAGTCGTCTTTTTTTGTATCCTGATCCTGTGACATGATCTGTTAATCCCAAAGCCTGTCATTTGACAATTATTAACATATAACGATGTACTATTTTAAGTGCAGGAAAGTTAACAGAATGGGCTCAGTGGGGAAAGCTGTAGAGGCTGAGAGACACTATGATGCACAGAGGGCCTTTCCTGATCGTGTGATGGAATGCACATACACTTCCATTCACAAGTAATGCCCTTTTCTTTCAAAGAAAATACCATACAACTCTGAATTAATTACATTTGGAGCAGCATCTCAAAAATCTATTTTGTATCACAGTAGAAAAGTTGGTGGAGTTTGCAATGTGAAAATCCATGTCATCCAAATCAATGTTAAACATTCGGACCTGTTGCCACTTAAAGCTTTTCCACTTTGTGTGGGGATATGAGTTGCACTAATTAGACAGCTGTAAACAATGTAGCCACTTACCATTGGGATCTGTCCACAGTAAGCAAAACATACAAAAGCCTATAGACTTCCAACTGCTGTATAGGATGCCTTAGTGGCTATTCCAAGAACGTTTTTAACAGATGCACAAGGCTATGATTGTAAAGAAAGTGCTAATGAGTTACCATCAGTACATGCACCAAAATTGCCGGTGAAGTGGGAAGAAAACAGGGACACCTGGTGGAAGAAAACAATAGCGTCTTTCCCATAGGCAGGACCACTATACAGTATGAACATTAATCTGCAGCTACAAACACCAACTCAGGAAAACAGCTTCCGAATCTGTTCTGTCACACATGAAATGATCAAAACTGGCATTCATATTTATCCAATTACAATGACAGTTACAAAATGTGAAGATTAATTGGGACAATAACAGGAATTAAACAAAAGCATGAATTTTGAATGAGAATTTATTACAGCCAGCAGTTTACAATACAAATCACCCTTCATGATGCTCAGCTATCACCTGAACATGGCTGATATTCTGAGCACTGACACAATAACATAAAACAGAGGAATGCATTCAGAACGTATAATCTCAATTTGTTTTCTATTTTGCTATTTTTTTCAACACATTTTTGTTTATTATCAAGGTCTAGTCAAACCATCTATAGACCTGGCAGATTAATTGTTTTCTTCATTTTTTTAAGAAATAATTTATCATTTTGCGATGTTTTCAGAGTTTTAGGTTTTTCAATGTTTAATATTTTTTTCTCTTTTTCCATCGGTGAAGCAGGCTTCAATCTGCAAGACAAAAATACCAAATATGTTGATGCTTATTCTGTAGTTCATTTATTCATATACTGTATAGTTTCATCCGAGTCATCTTTACTTCAAAATGTTACACACCTTAGACACTGGGGACACCAGCGGGGGTGGTTGACTTCTGAGCAGCCTCCTTGGCCTGGTGGGCCTGCAGCACAGCAACAGCCTCATCCACCTAAAACAACAGATAGATAGATAGAATCGGAGGGATGAAACCCTCTTTAATGGTCACACATGCAAAGCACATAGCACACAGTGAAATGTTGCATCTGCATTTACATGACATTACATTTAGCTGACGCTTTTATCCAAAGCGACTTACAATAAGTGCATTCGACCAAGAAGATACAAACTTGAAGAAAACAGAATCATAAAGTACACTAGGTTTCATAGAGCCAAACCATTTTAAGTGCTACTCAACTGGCTTTAGATAAGCCAGTCCTTTGTTAGTATATAAGTGCTTTGTTAGTATGTAAGTGCTTAGTTAGTATATGTGTGCTTAGTTAGTATATAAGTGCTTTAGTAATTTAACCCATCCTAGTACCAGGAGTCTAGTACTAGGAGCAGTGGGCAGCTATTGTACAGCGCCCGGGGAGCAATGGGGGTGAGGGGGGATGTCCGGTGCCTTGCTCAAGGGTACCACGGCAGGGCCCAGTCCACACTCCATATTTAAGTCTGGTCGGGGACTTGAACCGGCGACCCTACGGCTCACAGTCCAAGCCCCTACTGACTGAGCCACTGCCGAGCAAAACACTTTGTGAACTGCTGCACATCCAGGGTTAGCATTAAATCCGTTATTAAGTTATGGCATCAGTCCATCAACAAGTCCTCCCTTCTGAAAATGCTTCTAGCAACAAAGCTCAGGTCAAGAGAAACAATGCAGATACCGACCAAACAGGTTCCAGTTCTAGATCGGTGCTAGTGCCTTTTTAGTTCGGAACTATTTTTCAGTTTAGGAACCAGTTATTTTACCACCGCCCAGTTCCCAAGTGGTGCCAGGCCATGACCATTAAAGTTATAGATTTTACAAGCAGCACCCCTCACAACAACAATGGTGGACTGCCTGTTCTAGTCTGAATGGACGCTGTTTGGCATCACAATGCCTTTATTAAAGTTTCTCTGGTATGAGATGGATGATGTAAGCATAGCCACCGAAGCTTGTCTGACTATCTTGACTACTTGTTGCTATCTGTTGGGGAATAATTTGCTTAGGTATTCAACCTTTGACACAGCTCATCATTTTCTCTTTTCACCGTCTCCTTTCCCCTGGCAAAGGTCTACGGCCATGGGTATTGCTGCTATCTCTCTTAAGGAGGGGCAGCTTGGGCGCATTGTTGTTGCCAGCTTATGACAGAGCACAAGCTGACATGAGATAGTTTATTGTTCAGGGACATCTAGAAGCCCTTCTTTTTAGGAACGTAGGTTCCCTGGCGCACATTATTTTCTATGGACGACAGCTCTAGTTAGATTCAGGGTCCATATTTGTTTTGTCTCGCTGATAAAGAACGTTGATTATTACACTCCGAACTAGTTAAAACCTGGAACTACAGAAGAGTTCTTCAGAATTGATTGTGGCAACTCTACCGTGCAGTCAGAACCTCTGACTCTTGACATGTTTTGTGAATTCTCCGGCCGAAGCTCCAAATAAACCGTCAGTGTTTGCCATCAAAGCGCCAGCTCTCCGAGTCCTGACTCCTATTGCTACAGAAGTTTCCCCCACACTATCCTATTGTGGAATAAGCCCTTTTCTACAGGCATATTTTACTTGCTTATTTTTCATTACGATTTTAATTGCGATAGTCTGACATGGCAACATGTGTAGCCCATGTATTGTTTACACCCGAGAGCTGCTATAATAAAAACAACATCAAACTGATGCCGAGTCATTATAATTAAGGTAAAAAATAAACAATATCAAATAAGTCTTGCCTGACTTAATATATATGTGTGTCGTCTTAGTCACTTTGCAATCTGAGTGGTACGGCGTGTAACAACTTTATTCTGTTCACCGTACTTGCCATAAACTGTTATTGCTAAAATTAATCTGACCAAGCCTCCAATATAAGCCTGACATATTTGGTTCTTCAAGCTGCGGTGGAAACAGGAAGAACTGGGTCATAAAGGGCACGAGCTTCAAGCTTTGGTGGGAAAGGGGATGGAGTGATAAAATCATTATGCCTCTGACCTTTGAGCGCAGCGACTCAGGTGACTCCAGCATGTGGAGAAGTTCAGAGTTGTCGATCTCCAGCAGCATACCGGTGATCTTGCCAGCCAAACTGGGGTGCATGTTCTGGATCAGGGGGAACAGACGCTCACCTAAAGAAGAACAGTCAACAACTATTTCAAAAATGTGTAAAACCAGCCTTAAATCCTTATCAAATGACTTATGTACAATTCTGTTTCTTTGAGCAGATAATTTACTTACCCAGCATTTGCTTCTGTTCCTGAGGAGGGGCCGCGGCCAGCATGGAGGCCGTCAGTGGCTCCTGTCCTTGGACATGGACAGCAGGCTAAAGAAGGAAAACAAAATTAATGATTTGGTTCTTGAAAAGTCCTGCTTACTATTTGGCATAAACAAAACATTTTCATGATATGGTTTTTACACTATAGCCGCTTTCACACCAAGTACTTTGCCGTACTTAGTGCCCAGCACTTAGTACCCCCATGGAACTTAGTACAGATCGCGTTCACACCGGAATAAGTTCCCTGAGGGAAGTTACTCGCAAATGTTACTCGCAAATGTCGCAAATGACGTCACTTCTTCTTCTTCTTCTGCTTTGGGCGTATACTGCCACCCGAAGTTCCCGGCCGGAAGACCTTGGAGTTGGGGACTGCGGAGTTGGGGACTGTTGCAGCAGCTTCTACTGAAGCTTTCAGAGTAAATTGCCAGAACGCCGACACCTCCTCATCACTTCACCGCTCCCATGTTTTTTTTTGTGTTGCCATAAGTTATTCTCTCTCTGTTGGTGCACAGGGCTAATGCTAATAATGCTAATGCCAGCAAATAAAATGGCGGCTTCACAAAACTTTTCAGAGTTTTACGGGGCGTGGTTTGCAAATCGCCCAGCCAATCGAAATTGGTACTTTTCTCCCCAGGATAGTACCAGCAGGCACTAAAAATGGGGGTAAAAGTTCTCGGAATTAAGTACTCTTTTTGGTGTGAACGCAAAATTCTAGGCACTAACGGAACTAAATGGGAAAAGTATGGGTAAAAGTACTCCGGAGTGAACGTGCCTTATGTTCTTGTTTAAAACTAATTAAACAGAAAAGGTAAATAAATGCAGATGGTCTTCTATTTTTTCTTCTTGGGCATCAGCTAGTTAAGTTGAAAAGCACAAGTGGAATGGAATCTACCTGCTGCATGGGGACCTGTGGCTGGGAGGCCATGTGCTGCTGGGGGTTTCGCACACCAGCAGCATATTTGTACTGGGGCATGGCGCGCACTGGGGCAGCAGTTGCTGAAGATCCGGCAGGGCGTTGACTGAGGGCCTGTGTGGCTGAGGAAAGTGAAAAGGTCCCTTTATCAAACCTGCTTCAAGTGATTAACTCGCGAGGACAACTTGACAAAATATAGCTTTAGATTGTATTTTCTGAAATCTGAAATACTTACGCATACGCTGGGAAGCCATCATGCGCGGAACCTGTGTGTTGGGTGTGGTGGTGGGACGGATGGTGTTGAAGGTTTGGGGCCTGGGAGCTGAGGGCCGCATAGCATTGGGCATGTTTTGGAAGTCTGAAAGAAGAGGAAACGACATTACAAGGTTCACACTGAAGGGGTGAGAATTCAGCTCTTTCAATGTTTAAGAGAGCCAGGTACCATTTATTCAATTAAAGCATTGCTTCAAAATCCGATAACAGTGAAGTGACAAAATGAGTGAAAATGTTTTTACTTACGCTGAGGACGCACTCCTTGAGTTGCCCAGCGGGGGCTGGGGCGGAGTTGGGCCAGCTGGTTGGCAGAGTAGTAAGCAGCACGGTTCTGAGCCTGATGGAAAGAGAAACAATCATTTATCAGTTCATGGTGTCCTATAGCCAATTCGTTACAAATATTTCTATTATCCATACCCCTACAACCAAGAGGTGGTTAAACCAGATAACAGACGCGCTGTGCCCTCTTATTTTCGGTGTGCGCCCTCATACCAAAATGCAGATTTTCACAGTAAGATCTTAAAGGTGGTGCCAAAAAAACAATATTTCTGTTTGTCAAAAACTGTATAATTACGGAACTCAGAATAATTATGGGATGGATGTCCGGTCGGTCTGCCGGGGGACGAGTGGCAGGCAGCAGGCTTACACTGAAACTGTGATTTCTGAATCAGTTTATTTTACTGTCCTTATTTCTGTAGAGGAAGTAAAGAAACCGTAACTCTGGTTATTTGGGGCTCAATATATGACTCCGCAGCTTTAAGACATGAAGGAACTATCATTTTCCACTTTGCTCTAATGCATTAGTTTTGTCGGAGGGTGGTCATTTTGGCCGGAAGAGACGTTAGTGCCCTCATACTAAATGTTTCTAGAAAAACCCCTGACAAACTATTGACATTTCTAGTGATGACATCCAAAAATATGAGTGCTTAAGATGTTATGGACTAGATACAGTGGAGGAAAAAAGTATTTGATCCCTTGCAGATTTTGTAAATTTGCCCACAACATTATACAACAATGTATAATTGTAGGTTTATTTTAACAGTGTGTAAGAAATTGACATTGTAAAAAAGTTGATTGATTTACATTTAACTGTGGGAAACCAGTATTTGATCCCCTTGCGACCAACAAGAATTCTGGCTCCCATGGACCGGTTACATGAGTCCTCTTCCTTTAAGAAAGTACAGATCAATCAACCTCTCCACCATGGACAAGACTAAAGAGCTGTCTAAGGACCTCATGGACGAGACTGTAGACCTGCACAAGGCTGGGATTGGCTACAAGACCATCAGAAAGTAGCTTGGTGAGAAGGAGACAACTGTTGGGTGCCATTATTCGGAAATAGAAGAAACACAAAATGAGCATCATTCCCCCTCGGTCTGGGGCTCCACACAAGATCTGGCCCTGTGGGGTATGATGATCAGGAGAAAGGTGATCAGCCAAGAACTACACGGGAGGAACATGTTAATAATCTCAAGGCAGCTGGGACCACATTCACCAAGAAAACTATTGGTAACACACTACACCATAATGGATCAAATCCTGCAGCACCCTGCTCAAGAAGAACATGAAAGGCCGTCTGAAGTTTGACAATGAACATCTGGATGATTCAGAGAAGGCTTGGGAGAAGGGGGTGTGGTCGGATGAGACCAACATCGAGATCTTTGGCATCAGCTCGACACGCCGTGTTTGGAGGAAGAGAAATGCTGACTATAACCCCAGAACACCAACCCCACCGTCAGCATGGAGGTGGAAACATTAGGCGCTTTCACACCGGAGTACTTTTCGGGTTCCCTGTGGACTACAACAACGATGAGGAGTGCGAGTGGTGGATCGGGCGAGGACGGTGTGTCGGCGTTGTTCGATAGCGGTGCGGTATGCTAATGGTAACACACGCCAAACATGCTAAATCAAATCAGAAGGCATCACCCAGATTTGCCAATCACCGGAGCCCGGAAAAAGACAACCGCAGTTCAACAGCTGATCCCCGCTGTTTTTAAGAAGCCAATAAACATGAGAGCCGAGAGACCAAAATAAATAACGGAAGCTTTTGGCATATGTTTTTCAATGACTTTGCGCTCTGGAAAAAAATTCTTATTATTTATGATGTAATATTTTCAAGACATTCTTTTTAGTTTTACAGCTTGATGAAACCTTTTTGTTTGACATCAGCCATTATAGATAATATGGCCATCTGAGTGCGTGTGGTAGGCCTACTGTTTGTAGTTTGTTTTTTACTGTTTAATACAGTTAATTATTCAAAATGTCAGAGTTCCTTATTTTTTAACTGAAACCTGCACTACTGTTCAAAACTAAATAACAAACCTGGAATTATGCATTTGGGACTTTTTTTTTAGCTTTTTCTTGTTGTACCGAAACCGTACCGAACCGTGACCCCCAAACCGAGGTACGAACCGAACCGTGACTTCTGTGAACCGTTACACCCCTAGTTTACACCAAAAAAATCCGGAACTAGAACTTAGTTCATGAGAACCTTTTCACCCTCTTTTCAGTCCCTGCTAGAGAGCAGGTACTTTCATGGGAGAAAAAGGTTCCCATTTCTGATTGGCTGGGCGGATTGCAAACCACGCCCCGTAAAACTCCCAAAGGGTTTTGTGAAGCCGCCATTTTATTTTCCTCGCATTAGCATTATTAGCATTAGTCCAGCGCACAAACGGAGAGAGACTAACTTATGGCAACACAAAATAAAACATGGGAGCGGTGGAGATGAGGAGGTGTCAGCGTTTCTGGCGATTTACTCTGAAGGCTTCAGAAGCTGCTGGGAAGAATCCCAGCAGCTTCTCACTGTTAAAATAAACCTACCATAAAAATTATAGACTGTTAATTTCATTGTACGAGGGCAAAATCTGCAAAGGATCAAATACTTATTTCATCCACTGTATATTATAAAGTACTTTGCTTGACTCAGATATTCAGCCATATATTAGCCATAGCTAATTCTGACTCTGTGTTTTGCCCAAAGACACAGCAACATGCCGACTGCAGTTGGTGTCAAGATTAGATTGAACCGGTGTTCCCCATATCTAAAGATGATCGCACTAACCCACTGCGCCACAGTCGATGTGTGCTTTGCTGAACTGCCCACAAATGCTGAGGTAAGTTGGTTTTTCAGTGAAAGGTAAAATAAGAAGGAGTGAATGTGTAATGCATAGCTTTTGACGTGTTTGAAAATATTCCAAATATTTTGAGCGTTACAGGAAGAATAGATTTAGCAGGAAAACCTTTTCCATTTTCTCAGATTATGTTTACCATTATAAATGATCAGACAACTTGAAAAAAAAATGTATTCAGGTAGCAATGTCGCAATATGCGAATATGTTTGTCATGTACACACTGGCGTGTGGCCTGCCGTCTGTCGCTGCCAACGCCGTGTGTTTTTATAATAGGCACATTCACACCGCAGTACTTTTCCCACAAAGGTTCATGAGAACTCTTTAGTTCTCATGAACTAAGTACAGATCACGTTCACACCGGAATAAATTCCTGGGGAAGGATTAGGCAAATGAAATGACTGGGGAAAACGCAGTGGTCGACTGGTGAGAATGAAGGCTTCTTCAGCTCATCTTTTCTCTCATACTGAGTATGAGCCTCGTCTCTCTTTTTTGAGGCTGGTAGTTGTTTTTGGCTGGTAGTTGTCGTCGGCCCGGGCATTCTTGCACCGCGGGACCTGCTCCCCTCGTCCCCGCGGGGTTAATCTGCATAACCTGAGGTCTCTGTGTCGGGCTCCCCGGACCTCTAACGCCGCCGATCTGCCAGCCCCTGCCAGGTTTGGCTTGATTAACGCAAGATCGCTGACAAACAAGACTTTTGTCCTAAAGGATTTCTTCACTTCCAAGGGTTTGGACTTCCAAACTGCGTGACTGAGACATGGCTCAGTATTGGTGAGTCCAGCGCGTTTACCGAACTTGTACCGCAGCATTGCTGCTATTTTAACTCTCTGCGGACGTCAGGCCGAGGTATAGCAACTGTTTTTAAGAGTGACTATAAATGCCAGCAGCTTTCACTGTCATTCTCACCTGGTAGCTTTGAACTGAGCGTGTTCGAGCTTGGTTGCTCTCATACAGTGCTGTGGTCTATAGACTTCCCAAATACAATAAGGGATTTCTAAATGATTGCTCTGATTTCTTGGCTGAAATTATGCCAAAATATGATCGTGTCCTTATTGTTGGGGATTTTAATATTCATGTGTGTTGTCCCGATAAACCTGTGGCAAAGGACTTTTTAAACCTTGTTGATTCCTTTAATCTTGTGCAGTCTGTGTCTGGCCCCACGCAGGAACGCGGACACACACTTGATCTTGTTTTATCTTATGGTTTGCCTGTTTCTTAACCTGGAGATTTGCAACGCTTTTTTCTTTGATCATATGCCTGTATTATTTGATGTGACTCTTGCTTGTTAAACTGTTAAACCGCGCGCTGCTCCTCGGCGCGCTCGCATTATTAACCCCTCAACTGCTGGTCAGTTCTCTGTCACTTTTAAACAGAACTGTGTTAATCATGAACTTATGTCACCTGAAACGGATGAGCTTAGCTCATGGTTTCACTCCACTTGCAAAGCTACCATAGACACTGTTGCTCCTTTAAAAACCAGGCAACCTAAAACTAAATCTGAGCCTTGGTTAAATGACACGACTCAGACTGTATGACGGGATTGCCATAGAGCTGAGCGTAAATGGAAAAAGGACAAACCGCAAGTTCATTTCAAATGTTGAGGGAGTGTTGCCGTCTCTATCAGATCACTGTGAAAGAGGCTAAATGCAAACATTTATCTGACATCTTTCTGTCAAACCGTCACAAGCCACGTGTTCTGTTTCAGACTATTGATTTGGTCCTTAATGCCCCCCAGACTACCGTTATGGAGACCTCTACTGCGGTCTGTGAAGACTCTTTACTTTTTTATTAATAAGGTAAACTCCACTAGAGCTCAAATCTCACCCCTCAGTTCCTGCACCGTGCTCTGCTGTCTTTAACCAGTTTGAGCCTGTAGCTCTGTCTTTTGTACAGGAGATTGTCTCCAAGTTAAAGCTATCTGGTTCTCCAAAAGACCCTGTCGCGCCTCGACTTTTTAAAGAGGTTTTCCCCACTGTTGGACAATCTGTGCTGGCAGTTATAAACAGCAGTCTGCTCTCAGGGAAGGTCCCTGAAAACCTGAAGCATGCAGTAGTGCAACCTCATATTAAAAAACCCAGTCTGGATCCCACAGTTCTGGCTAATTTTAGGCCCATTTCCAAAATCCCTTTTATGTAAAAATACCTGGAGAAAATTGTCTACAGTCAAATTATGTTTTTTCTGGAAGAGAACAATATATTGGAGGTTTTCCAATCCGGTTTTAAAACTATGCACAGCACTGAAACAGTGCTTTTAAGAGTTTGTAATGACATCCTTTTATCTACTGACTCTGGGGACTGCGTTGTGTTTCTACTTATTGATCTAACTGCTGCTTTCGATACAGTCGACCATGACATCCTGATCTCTCGCTTGGAGCAGAGGGTGGGCATTGAGGGGAAAGCCCTGGAATGGTTCAGGTAATATCTGAAGGATAGAACTTTCTCTGTCAGCCTTGGTGACTCCGAGTCATCCTCTGCTCCACTCCTGTATGGGGTCCCACAGGGCTCAGTATTAGGCACCCTGCTATTTTCCCTCTATTTGCTCCCTCTTGGGTCCATACTTATGGCGCATTTCCAGCGCAGGCCTCGCTAGACTTAGTACGGTTTTGTTAGGCCCGGCTCACTTTAATGCTGCGCTTCCATTACAGTTTAGGAACTGGGGTAGTATCTATAGTAACGCAGTGTAGGCGGAGCCGTGATGTCATCTTCAGAAAAACAACATCAGCCGTTAGCTGTTAGCACTCAAGCTCACAGCTCCTCATATCTGTTCAGAAACTAGACAAAAGTTAAACAAGTACAAACCGCAGACTGCCTGTGTCATGGCGAATACAGTCGCTGGTTTATTTATGTCTGTAGGCCGTTGTTGTGAGTGTGGACGGTCGGAGTATACTGCGTTAGCTTAGCCGATCTCCATTTAGACAGCACGCATTTTAAAAGGTTTTTCGCCTGCCGTCTGTCTGCAGACTTGTCAAAGCATTAATTCATGGTTTTTACTAACCGGTATCAGTATGTAGTTACTTCGGCATCATTTTGAAACGTGTATTACAATTAAATCACGGTCAAATATGTTCATCTTGTTGTAGTTGTAGCCCCCTTGCCAGCGATTCTCTCACTAGTTTAGCATATTCAGCCCGGTTGTTGTCCCACTTGTTGGCCCCGATAGAACCACGATTTTGTCGGGCCAGAAAAAAGGTGAAAAAGTAGCCCCGGGCCGGAACTACGCCTAGTGGAAACGCAACCTAAAACGGGCCCGGCACGACACGCTTAAACCGCGCCATGGTGGAAAAGCGCCATTAGAAAGCATGGCATCGCATTGCACTGCTATGCTGATGATAGCCAGATTTATGTCCCACTAAAAAAGAAGGAGGGTTACTCAATTAGCCCACTGCTAAAGTGTCTAGAGCAGGGGTTCCCAAAGTGGGGGTCGCGAGATGATTCAAAATTAAATTAAATAAATGAGAAAATTAAAAATTACATTTTTTTTTTTTTTTTTTAAATAATTATCATCATCAGTGTTTCCCACATAATTTGATTCTATTTGTAGGGGCACCGCTCCCCCCCCCCCCATGCAAATGAGCCATAATCTCATTAAATATGCGCATATTTTAATACTTTCAGGAACACAATTCTGAACATTGGATAAAGTCATTGTATCATTTTGTAGTCATATTAGCATTTCAAGTTTTTACAGAAGGGATTTGGGATATCTCTTTTTATCACAAATCAGAAAATACTGTCAACAGTTCTAAAATATAAATGTTCGCCATGTTTTTAGGTATAACATGTTATATAATTCAGGCTATGAATGATATATAAACAAACCCTTCTGTAAAAACCTTCAGAATATTGATAGGAATATAACTGGAAGGTTTGGTGTATTTGGTGCTACGGAAATGGACATTTCTCACTCAGAAACATGAGAAAAAAACTCATTTTGAGAAAACGACCTTTAAAGATTGCTGTGTGGCGCTACCTAAACCCTCCTGTTCTTTGGATGATAGCTTGCGCCTCGACGCACTCCGTGAAGGTATTTCGTGTTCGGGATCATTTGTTTTTTGTCTAACATTGTTGTCGTCTTCTCTGTGAACGTTTTTAATCGCTGTTCTTTTGCCATTTTGAGATTTACATTTCCAGCAAAATCTAAACCAAGAAGTGTTTTAGCACACCACGTGACGCATCTGAACGAATCACGTTGTCAGAAATTGACACCAGCCAATGAGATTTTGTTTCTTGGTTTAAGACCCCTTTGTACTTTCACGATTGGTTGCTGATACAAAGGAAATGACCATATTTGGATCCGATGAGATTGTGCAGGAGAGGCGGAGCTTTACAGCGGTCGCGGTACTTTATGTTACGTTAGAATCAGTGTTTCTGCCAGACCAGAGCTGAGAGGGCGTCCACCCCGAGAATTTTGACTTGAGCCATCCCTTATAGATACTGTCTTTTTACGTTAGTGAGCCGGATCATTTGGCTCGGCTCTCTTAAAGCGCCGGCTGTTTCGGCTCCCAAACGGCTCTTCATGTTACCACAGTTTACCACGGAGCCTCAGTTTCGCCGCTGCGAGGCTCCGGTGCTCGCAGCTCACGCGCATGCTCCACTAGCACCGCTCATCGCGTCCAAATCATGCACGTTCCGTGTTGTCCTGTAGCAGGCACCTTCGATGTCGGGGAAACGATCTTCAATACTCAGAAATAATCCCACCAGACTCCTTTGTCCCTCCAACAGAGGGATGTCCTTGTCCTTTTGGTTATTTCAATGCGATAAAAACTCTCGATCTTCTCTCGAATTATTATTATTTGTGGACGCCCTCGGCTCGCGTTCAGGGCGTCCCGAGCTGAATAAGGGCGTCAAATAACGGCAAGACGCCCCCCTGGCGGAAACGCTGGTTAGAATGCTAACTTTTGGTGAATTTAGGAGAAACCTACAGACGCAAATAGACAAACTACAGTAAAATAAACATTTTCTCTCCAGACAGCAGTTTGAGACAGTAATCCACGCCTTTTTCACCACTCGGCTGGATTACTGTAACTCTCTCTACATGGGGGTCAGCTCCCTCGATCGTCTGCAGCTGGTGCAAAATGCAGCAACAAGGCTTTTAACTGGCACACGGAAATACGACCACATTTCCCCCATTTTGGCTTCACTCCATTGGCTGCCAATAAATTTTAGGATTCATTTCAAAATCCTCGTATTTACTTTTAAAATCCCTAAATGGCATGACCCCACCATATCTTTCTGAGCTGCTACACCCTTACACGCCCAACCGCCCTCTCAGGTCAGCTGATCCTCCTGAAAGTGCCCAGAACCAGGTCAAAGCTCAGAGGGGACCGTTGCTTCTCTGTAGCGGCTCTCACACTGTGGAACGATCTGCCCCTGCACATCAGACAGGCGATCTGTGGAATGATCTTCCCATGCATATCAGACAGGCCGCCACACTGCCTGCTTTCAAAGCGCTTCTTAAAACCCACCTCTTCTCCTTAGTGTATTAACATCTTTTAGAGTGTTGTTTTTAGTGCTTTTAAATTGTCTGTTGTTTTTAATTATACTTGTTTTATGGTGTGTGAGCTGTGCTGTATTATTTGTTGTATGTTTTGTTTGTTTATTTGACTGTACAGCACTTTGGTCTGGAGGTTTAAAGTGCTCTATAAATAAAGCTGTATTGTATGTATACCCAGCGGACTCACCTGAGGTATAGCTGCCATGAAATAGCCTGAGGGTGGGGCCGGCTGATATGGGTTGAGTACTGGGTTGGGCACAGCGCGGACTGTGGCCATCCTCTGCATGTACTGGTTGGTCAGGTGGGCCTGACGCTCCTCTTTCCGCTGGGCCAGGGCCACATACAGTGGCTTTGTAGCAACAATACGCCCATTCATCTCCGTTACAGCTTTAGTGGCCTCCTCTGGGGAAGAGAAACACACAAAGCCAAAGCCTTTGCTGCGGCCCCCCTCCATCATCACCTATGGGAGAAGACACGTTTTGATACGCTTTGTTAATCATTATAAAATTACATTAATTTTGTATTTTAACAACTCAATCTATTTTTAGGCCAACAAGTGCATAATTACAAATCAAGCCCCTTACCTTAGCACTGGTTATGGTTCCAAACGGAGTGAACTCTTTACGCAGACGCTCATCATCTAGGCCATCATCCAGGTTTTTCACATAAAGATTGACACCCTGTAACATTGGCAATGGCATTTGTAACAAACCAAAGGGACATATCAAGAATGAGCCAAATCAACTGTGTATTGTAGATCCAGCCATTGTTGTATCTGGGGACAACCTAGTTTGAATTATATTTCGCATCAATATCACTTTGTTGTGATTTACCAGACCCAATAGGTTTTGGAGAGATAAAACAACTTAGCTAACTAGGGCAATGAGGTGGGAGAGGCTCAGAATGCTTTTTACTTTATCACAGAAAGGAGAGTTTTCAAGCAACAACCCAGTGACAGTAGAAACCAACAAACCTGGTATCTGGTCATGCGATCCTGTTTCATCTGCTCAAATTTACGCTTGAGCTCATTCTGGCGTTCCCCTTTCTTCTGTGCACGGCCCACATACACTTGCCGCCCATTCATTTCTTTACCATTCATCTCGTCCACAGCCTGAAATGATATAAGCCAGGGGTTTTCAAAGTGTGGGAAGGTGAGCCTCCCCTCAGAGAACATAAGAACAGCTGCGCCCCCCCCTCCCAATTATTATTGCCATTATTATTATTGTTGCTATAATGCAGGGGTATTCAATTTCAAAGAGGTCCAGTAAGAGAAAATGTCATTAAACGCTCTGTTTTCGCTGTCTACCTTTCTCTTTTTTGAGCACGCCATTTGAAATTACTCACTGCTGTTTCTCTCTTCTTGTCTCTTCTCTGTGTTTGAATCTATCGTGCTGACACACTGACTGCACCGATTTGATTGGCTGAGTAGCGTCACCTCCTTAAAACATTAAACAATAACTTTTTTAAACCTTTTTATCTTTATGTTTTAAACTTTTTTTTTTTTTACATTTTCAACATCGTGGATAAATCCTTATATGCTCCCAGCAACACACTGAACGAGAACTTTGCCTCCTTATTACACTCACCCCTACTTTAGTGGGAACAATGAGTCTGCGTCGTCGATGCGCACAGGCGGGTGATGCAGGGATGCAATGTAGACAGGAATAAACGCAGATCATCCTCTGGCAGCAGCCTTGACCGGTACTTGCTTTTGATCAAAGTAAGTATTAGGCGCTTTCACACCAAGTACTTTGCCGTACTTAGTTCATCAGAACTTAGTTCATCAAAACTCTTTAGTTCTCATGAACTAAAGAGCAGATCGCGTTCACACTGGAATAAGTCCCTGAGGGAGGATTAGGCAAATGAAGCCGCTGACATCACTTCTTCTTCTTTGGGTTTACTGGCGGGCCGCAAACAACTTCACGGCGTATACTGCCACCCGAAGTCCCCGGCCGGAAGTCCCAGGAGTTGGGGACTGGCTTCAGTAGAAGCTGCCGCTCCCATGTCTTCTTTTGTGTTACCATAAGTTAGTCTCTCTCCGTGGGTGTTTCTCAATCGCGGGTAAAGCTGCTCCAGAGCCACTATTTCAAGCATACTACGTCATCGAGTGCTGCCGAAGGACTGTTCCAATGTCCAGTATACTTGGAAATCTACCGAGCCCGGCATACTCCGTTTGGAGAAATGTCGAGGCTGCACATGTGTAGACTCCGCGGTCTTAAAATCCCCACAATGCTTTGCGCACGGACCAATTTCCCCAAATCTGTGGCGGAAAATGTAAAGCGGGCCTCTCATATGAAGCACACCTCCACACTTGCTCGCCTGTACCACTCTTTGTTTTCCGAATGCCAGGAAGTATTCTTGCCTCGCTTCTGAAGCAAGATGCTCGGAAGACATGTGCTACCAAGCAAGCGTACTGGAGATTGAGAAACACCCCGTTTGTGCGCTGGGCTAATGCTAATAATGCTAATGCAAGGAAAATACAATGGCGGCTTCACAAAACTTTTTGGGAGTTTTACGGGCCGTGGTTTGCAATCTGCCCAGCCAATCAGACATGGGAACCTTTTTCTCCCATGAAAGTACCTGCTCTCTAGCAGGGACTGAAATGGGGGTGGAAAGGTTCTCATGAACTAAGTTCTAGTTCCGGATTTTTTTGGTGTGAGCGCACATTTTCTGAACTATATCGGAACTATACTGGGAAAAGTACTCCGGTGTGAAAGCGCCTATTATTACAATTAAAATAAAGGGCGGTGCCGGCCTTCAGCGAACCGAGGCGGCCGTCAACAGCCCGCTGACGACCGGCCGTTCTGTGATTCTCCAGAACACACAGATGGCCAGTCCGCCCCTGCCAGGACCAGTCCATGACATTCCTAGCTTCAAATAATCGTGGTCATACTTCCTCCGTTTTCTGCCAGACGCTGTCTCCTCTCTCACTTTAGGTAACTTCACTAAAAATCGATCCATGTTGTCGCTCGCATAAAGTTAGCTGAAGTTACTAGCTAGATTTCACTGTTTCTAGTTGTTTTTTCACGCTGCGCCTCCCCTGAAGCTCTCTGGCGCCCCCCTGGGGAGGTGCGCCTCACACTTTGAAAACCACTGATACAAGCAATAGAATACTTAAAGTGAAAGAAAAGCAGAATTACAGTGACAAGTGTTGTGATGGTCATTTTTCAATAGTTAGATGCATATGATGGGGCATTAAAAAAAAAAACGAGAGTAGATTCTAACCTTCTGTGCATCTTCATGTCTCTCAAAGCTGACGAAGCCAAATCCCTTGGACTTGCCACTGTCATCAGTCATAACCCGGATACTTAGTGAAGGTCCTTCAAATTATAACAAATAATCAAAACATTTTACCAGCCATATCACACCATTAACCTGCATTATACAAACATTATGAGTCTCTGAAATGTATCATTGTCCTACCATATTGGTTAAACAACTCCCTCAGCTTCACGTCATCCATGTCATCCCCAAAGTTCTTGATGTAAACATTGGTAAACTCTCTGGCACGGGCTCCGAGCTCAGCCTCCCTTTCTTTACGAGACTTAAAGCGTCCAACAAATCTGTTGATTTAATAATGTGAATATTGTAACAATTAACACATATCAAGACATATACCGCACCCCAGCAGACAATTGTTTTGCATAACTTGTTAACATTATTTTGACACCTTCATAATTGTTGCTGTATGAAAACGGTTCATTCAACATAATTATATTTGAGTATGAAAACAAGATGCAGTTAAACATAAACTCACATTAGTTGTATAAAAAAAACAAATCACAGGTTAATGTGAATACCCCAAAATATGTGAGACACAGGTAAATTGTGGTCACACTTACACTTTTCTGTCATTGAGCAACATGCCATTCATTTTCTCAATGGCCCGCTCAGCAGCCTCGTGGGTCTCAAAGTGGACAAAGCCGTACCCCTTTGAGCCATTCTCATCACAAACAACCTTAGGAAGTGGAAATTAGGCATGTCAACACAATCACAACACCATGCATTTGAAAAAGCATCAGACTCACACAATCAGCTTCCATCTGACAATGTTTAGTCATGCAAACTAGTGGACTCTATGTAAAGCACTTGAACACAAAACAGAGGCCATCCAAATGCATGTCGCCCCACCTACCTTGCAAGAAAGGATGTTTCCAAATGCAGAGAAGGTGTCATAGAGTGCTTTGTTATCAATAGACTTGTCCAGGTTCTTGATGAAGATGTTGCCCACACCACTTTTTCTTAGGGAGGGATCCCGCTGAGACCACATGATGCGGAGTGGTCTGCCTTTGATTACATCAAAGTTCATTGTGTCCAGGGCTCGCTCAGCTAAAAATCAGAAACCACGATAAGACTTCTGACAGGTTTTATTTACATTTTCCCTATTGGAATAATTTAGGAATACAAAACACATATCTCTTTCCACCACAACGTGCATACTAAATCCCAATGGTACTAATGCAGAACTGCTGTGACATGGCTTGTGGTCAAAATTGAGTCAGATTGGGTCACATCCCTGTGGTTGCTGTATTATTTTATTGTAAACTTACCGTCATTCGGCTGCTGGAAGTTGACATATGCATAGCCAAGAGACCGGCGTGTGATCATGTCTCTGCACACTCTGATGGATAAGATGGGCCCAGCCGGGCTGAATTTCTCGTAGAGCATAGCCTCGGTAACGTCTGCATGCAGGTCTCCCACATAGAGGGAAGCCATCGGGTAGCTAGGAGCGCTGGGATTCATGTCTGACGACGAGGGTTCTCAGGCTTGTATTATAAATGTTAAATGTGGATGACACTCTTCTGCTTATGACAGCTTCCGATATATAAATGCTATTGTTCTCAGCTATCACCTATACAAAATAAGATCGCAGACACATATTCTAGCTCTCTTTAGAGTTAGCAATGTGGGCTACTTAGCTTGATTAGCAAAATGTCGTGACCTAACCGCTGCGGCTGACAGCTCTGACAGCTCTGACTCAGTACTCTGTCCTAGTGAGAGGAAGCGAAATAGCTGACTGTTAACGAAGCAAATGTTCTGGTTAACGATGTTCCCTGGAATGACAACCCCTTTATAAAAGGTAAAAAATAAGTAGTGGCTAACGTTAATCACCCACGCTTTCAACAATGACTCGCTGCTCGATAACGTGCTTCTCGTTCCGTGTTTCTTTCTTTTTCGAAGGCTGTTCTTCCGTTGCTTGAGTTGTCAAATTAAATCCTGCTTCACCGATTTTTTTTTCCTTATAAAAATATGTCTGCGTGTGCTCCCTAGCTTTTGGTTTGTTTCATAATAATAAAAATGTGTGCCGAGACTAGCTCTGGTGCACACCCTACGCAGACGGATTACGGGAATGATGAAAGGAAGGTCGGCGGAGGTTGTTTCACGATTCTGGTCGAGATCACGGCGCGTTCATCAATGTTGACGTCGCATATCTCGCGATAATTCATATTATATTGAATTTTGAGCGTTACAAATACATTTTTACTAACTCGAGTCCCCAGCTTTGTTATGTCTTCAAATGTAAGGACTGTGCCCAATGTAAGCTGATTGAACCGCTTCATCCACTATCTATTTTTCAATTTACGTTAGCAGATAGACATACGATTATACGAAATAATACTCATATTACATATCCAAATAAAAAGTATTTACATATTATTTCGGAAGAAGTGACCCAGGACACCTCTTAAATTCTAGTTTTCATGCTAGTTAATATTTAAAAATGTCACCCCATTTGAGACTTAATAGATTTTAGGGTTTATCTTGAGAATGAAAGGGAGACAGTTGTTTATTTAACATCCTCCTGCAGCTGCATCAGCTCAGACAAATATCATCCACTTAGTTCAAATCAATGGTTGTTTCCATAAAGTCTGGTATGTTGGACTGTATCGCTGCGTCTGAGAATGATTCATGTCACGTAACGAATGCTAACTTTAAATTTCGCCTGCAGAAATAATATATTGCCGATCATTTCAATCTAATCTGTAAAGTGATTTTGATTTAAAAGATGACTGATCATAATGTTCCTAAAGGCCAAATCGTCTGATAAGCCAGGCATTAACTAGTGTTACTCATAAGAAAAACTCACTGTAATAGCCCCTGAAATATTTGTCCTGACAATGTAACATGCGTGAGCCATCGCTCGCTCCCGCAGTAGTCTCGCGCGCCTCTGCAGTGCTGCAGCGAGCGCGTGCTTCATCGACACAGCGAGTTTCGTTGTATGGCAGGCTATATATACATTATGTATTTTATTATGCAACCACCACAACGATATATAGTAACTTATTTTAATACAAACTTTAAACTATGTATTTGTTATCTTGCACCACCCACAGCAGCCTGTGTCCAGAGAGGGAAATCTGCTGGAACCAGGCTGTGCAGAGGATTTGCAATAGACTGCACTGCCGTTTACCTATGGGCAGGGATTAAAAGATGCAATAGCAGCGAAATTGTCATGGCAGATCATTCCTTTAGCTGTTCCTTCAAGCAGTGGCAATTAAGCAAGATATGTAGCTTTTTGGTTTAGGATACAGACTAAAAATGGATGCTTTAGTCCCGTGAAATAGTTGTTCAGAAATGTTTCACCCTGTCTAGTTTAATTAACAAATCCTTTTGGGGGTCAATAGGATTTCTTAGTAGCAATTTTTATGAAGGTCATTAAAGGTCCAGCATACTCAGATGTGTGGCTTGAGGTCCTATATATGTTTGGCTTTTCCACCAAGAACACACTTGTATGATGTATTTAAAGGACACATTACAAAGGAGCAAACGACAACATTGAACACGAGCAGAATGTTTTCATTATTCTCATAAAGTAAGGTGACTTGTTCTCCTCCTCCCAGACCCAGACAACCATTCCTGAGAGCGGAGTGCAATTCATTTATACTAGACTTTGAATAATATGGCTGCTGGGCCAAATGAAACTAATAGTTGGAACTTTTAAATAATTTTTTTTATTCCACTTGCATGAAATTACACATTTCCCCCCAAATAACAGCTATGCTTGGGTGTTCTGTATGAAAATTCCAAAGACATGAACAAAGCTTGCCTGCCCAACAACAACCATCCTTACAAGTCCACAAACTACTTCTTACCAACATGCAGTTAAGGCAAGTATCGAAAGGAAACCGAGAATAAGACAAATCAAATAAAAATCTAAATTTGTAAAAGCAGTAACTAGATAAGGACTTTTTCTTACTGCTGTGCTCATAAAAACAAAATCAAGTTTGTGTGCTCTTGTTTTTCAATTTTTTCTATACCTCGTAATTGACACAGAAATACAAAAGCATGTCACCCGAAAACAAATACAAATAATAAAGAGTAGAAAGTTGAGAAACTGACAGTTTATGGAATGTTACCTTTGTGTTCCAACAAAACCTTGCCATCTGTCTCCTTTACACCTTCACCGGTCACAGCTGCTGTCTCCTAAGGTGTAAGGAGCTGACCCCTGATTTTGTGAAACCCCAGATGTATCATCAAAAGATGGTGTTAATGAAGAACAGGAGCTTCAAAATGAATATGATACATACAGCTGCATGTTTCATGAGTTAAGAACTTCCCCTTTCACCCAGCACCTCAATAATGCAACACCCCCATTTCTCCCACACAAAAAAGGTCAGCTGACAAGCAACCAACCCTAAACACCCTTTATGCTTTCACCGGGACCCTCACATCACGGATTTAAAACCTCCCCATCCCATGCAGTTACTAAAGAAGGAATAGCAAACTGATAGGAATGAGACAAGTGTTGAGGGGACTCAATATAAAAAAGATGAAGAATTGGAAATAATGTGGTCGTCTCAGTGTTGATAATCATGATGAAGATGAACCGGAATGATGGCAGGCAGACAGGGATGAGTATGGGGTCAGGCTCATTCTGCTGCTTCTTGTTCCTCTTCGGCCTGGTTATCAGAAGTCCACAGCTGAAAAAAGAAGGATAAAAGAGTAGGTAAAGGAAAATAGGGATACACCAATTAACACCTCATCTTAACATGTTTTTGATTTTCATTTCATTAGAAAGTTCTACTCTCCAGTGACCAGAAAAAGAAAGCCCCCTGTTCAGTAACAATTCTGGACTATTAAATAACTGACCATACAGATATAAACTGTGTGATAAACCATCGTTTAGATCAGGGGTGGGGAACCTCCGGCCCCCGGGCCGTATATGGCCCGCGAGACCATTTGGTACGGCCCTCGAGGTAATTTATAAACAGACGCAAAAAAAAATTTGTTTTTAGAAATCTAGACCGCAAAATAATTAAACAAGCGAGTGCCTGTTTTTCAGGGTCCTTGAACACAACATGAGCCTAACTGTCATCACGTGGTATATGTCTCGTCTGACAGGGGTGCAGTTCTGCCGGAGAGTTCCAGAACGCCGCTCTGGCACTTCAGAAATTGCAGTACCCATAAGGAGCCGTACACATGCCACAGTTTCTGCGTGGCTGTGTCTTTAGTTGAAAGCCCAGTGGCGATCTGTTCATCTGTCATACTGATCATACAGTCAATACCTTTGTTGTTATTAGCATCTGGTTAGCTAGCTATGCTAACGAATATAAGAAGCTTTTTCTACAACCAGTGAGGTAAAGGCACATCTTGATATGATCATTATAAAAAAAATAAGAGAATAAGGTAAACAGGTATAAAATACTATATGACAGTCAACAAAAGTTGTTATTAATAAACAAGAATAAAGTTTAAAAGGGGAGTGATTTGTAAAATATCCATAAAGAAATAGAAAATCTGCTTACAGTTCTGTTTCATATGGGTGCTGAGAGATGTTTCCATAGATTTCCTAATTTTAAATCTTCCCGGGGGAGCATGCCCCCAGACCCCCCTAGAGGAGGTTAGGTCCGCCACCCACTTAAATCATGTTCACATGGATAGGAAAGTAAATACATTTGCACACATCTTGTGTCCATATCTTTCTGTTTTGGTGGTCATGCCACACCGTGCACGTGCATGCATGCGCGAGTCATGGTAAAATGTCTGGATTAAGAGGTTGCTTTTTCTTTGCACAGCATGAAAAAAAGGCCAAATGAATGGGCTGTGATTTTAGTTTTTTTAAGCAGAGGTCAATCATTTGTACGGCCCTCGGAGGATGTTGAACAAATTGAAATGGCCCTTGAGAGGAAAAAGGTTCCCCACCCCTGGTTTAGATGCTGTATTGAGTTCATAAAAATTGTTTTCGGGACTGTTGTGGTACAAATCCAACTAGATGCTTAGTAGGGATGACCGATGCATTCGCCAATATTCTCCCCATGTACTAATGGTGTTAATAGGTTTTACTGTCATGTTACTTAGCACTGTTGAAGAGGACGCGGTAATCCTTTATTTTCTGTTATGACGGACAAAATCTAAAGTCTGTTTGTTATTTTAAAGATGACTGATGGTCTGCTGCACGTTTGAAGTCATTAACGTCGCAGTTCTCTCCTTCCTCCCTGTGAGGAGCTGCTGCTGCAGAACAAGCACATGCTGCAGAATTGTGTCCGCATGAAACACGTTTCTTCAGAATCAGTCAATTACATCCTCAGTTCAGAGAGTATTCTATAATAATAGTTGTGATTATGGAAATGTAAAACTAATGAATTTTTTTTACATTTAATACTCAACCCATGTTTGTATAATTGAGTAAACTCTGTGTGGGCTCTAGGCGGCAAGCAACATAACATACCTGAACTGGTAACATTACTCGTAACTTGGGCAACAACAGCTAAGAGATAGGCAGTTCCAAAAAGTGCATTTCTCTGCCTGAATATAGTGCACTTACACCAGATGTTTGGACAGATTACTTGTGTTTCCGCCATTACACAAAAATCCCTTATTGCACTTGTGGCAACGAGCATTGTCCAAATAAAACTTGTAAAGTGTAACCACACTTGAATTCTTAGTGTTGTGCATCGCTCGTAAACATTGGTAACTTCTGCGCTCGAAGTTCAAATTATTTTAACTTCGACCTAATTGGTGACTTTTCACCACACAACCAATCAGACAACAGTTGCATGAAGAGGCGCAAGCTAGAAGGGGGAGGTATGCATAGAAAAGGAACTTACATGCTCTGTGGTCTAACCTAGTGGTGAGCAAAGAGCAAATTGTGTATCATGTGAATGCAGCTTTGGTGAACTGCAAGGTACTTATCCACATGTTGTAATCTTATTGCAAATTGGAAACGGAGTTGATGAGATAAAACGTGCAAGATATTGTTTATGACATTTCTCCAGTACCAATAGCAAAACCGATAACATTGAAGCTTATGGATACCACGGTATTATAAAAATGTAGCCCCAAAGCCCATTTAATACCGGCTTTCAGTACTCATCTCTACAATAGGGTAAAAGGCTCCTGCCCTCATACATGGGTAGTTGTTGCATTGCACAGTCAACAGGAAATTATTTCTAGACAGAAACATGTTATTTTGAAATGCTTTGAGTGTGATAAACTTCTACACTGCGACTTACTTATACAGTATGCCATTTGAATGACTCCAAAAAAGTTACCAAACTCTAAACCGTAATATTTCTGGTCACAGATTGTCCTGAGGTAGTAAGCCCCACCTACTCAATCAAACCTATATCAAACATAATGAACCATGAATGAATGTTATTAAATTAGAGCTGCAACTGAAAAATGATATTCAACCATTTTGATAATCAATTACCTTAAATTATTCTATAATAGTTACGTGAATCTGTTATTCTTTTAGACTGAAAGTTGGAAACATTACCATTGGTTCTAGGAAGCTGTAATCGCATTTTTAAAAAACAAACAATTGAGAAAATAAATCAAGACTAATCAATGAAGAACATGACAAATTGCACACGATATGTAGATGTCATTTAAGTGAGTTTGTGTCCAAGCAATGGAAACTTACTGTCAAGTTGTCCCTCAGTAGCTGCATGATTAGTGTACTGTCCTTGTAGGAATCTTCGCCCAGTGTATCCAGCTCTGCAATGGCCTGATCAAAAGCCTAACAGATTCAAAAATATGTTTTAGAATACTGTAAGGATGGTGATCTTAAACAAGCTCTTAAGTGTCAGTACACTGTTTTAGCTCAATAATCAAAACATATTACATTAAATCATTTGCATTACATTAAGCAGGTGGCCATCTTCATAAGTATGAACATTTAGTGTTATGAACGCACCTCTTTAGCCAGCTTGCAGGCTTCTTCAGGTGAGCTGAGGATCTCATAGTAGAAAACAGAGAAATTGAGCGCAAGACCAAGACGGATTGGGTGGGTTGGGGGCATTTCCTCTTTGCTGGTGACATAGGCGGCTTCGTAGGATGATCTTGAGTTTGCAATGATTTCATCTGACAGAGGACAAAAGGCACATAAGAGCTGTGATATCTTATAACAGACACATGAAATATCCAATTATTTGTATTTAAATAAAATAAACCAGTGTTATGATTATTATACATTGTAGAACACTCTACTATACATACCCTATATATATATATATATATATATATATATATAATACCCTAACCTGTATTTACATACATAGACACTAATTGCAGGTGGTCACAGCGTATACTAAATTACCACAATGTCAGACCGGCAACCTTTTTTTCATACCCCTCTCTCAAGTCTCTTAAGCCTCTTACACACCAAACTGACACCAAAGAACACGTCCCGACGGAACGTCGCCTCACGTCTCC